GTAAAGAACATTTCTCCCATTATCTATGTTGCCATGTAAGAGGATTTTTTTTTTCTGTTTTGAGAGCATTTAACCAGAATAATGAGGAATCTAACGGTATAATTGAATGAAAAAAAGTTCAAGACAGGACTGAGAGAAAGATCTCAGGTGCAAACTGAAGAGAATTTAGGATGAAGTGGAAAATGGATAATGGGAGCAGAGTGGGATGGGTGGTTGTCATTAGGGTGCTGTTGAACAGGACTCATAGCAACCTTTGAACCAAAGATCTGAACTCTCTTCTATCCTGCACCATCTTCTCACTTCTCACAAGAGCCCATTGCAGCAGTCGCCATATCAATCGACTTGGCTGAGGGTCTTTCTCTCCTTCACTGACCTTCCACCTTTCCCAACATTATGACCTTCTCCAAAGAATATTACTTCCTAGCAACATGTCCAAAGTATGTGAGGTGAAGCTTCATCATTTTTGCTCCAAAGTATGTGAGGTGAAGCTTCATCATTTTTGCCTCCAAAGAGCACTCCGGCTGCACCATCTCAAAAACATCATCTGTTCATTCTGTTGGCTATCCATGGGATGTTCAGTACTCTTCTCTGCTACCACAGCTCAAAGGTGTCAATTCTTTTTTTTTGGCATCCTTATTCATTGTCCAGGTCTTAGATGCATAGCTAGTAATCAGGAAGACTGTGGCCTGACTTAGACACACCTTCGTCCTCAAACCGACATCACCTCTCCTCAATAATTTGGAAAGGTCTCTAACTGCAGATTTTCCCAGTGCAATGTGCCTCCTTATTTTCTGACTGCTTGTACCATGGGTGTTAATTGTGGATACAACGAAGATGAAACTGTCAGCAGTTTCAATCTTTATTGATCCAGTGGTAAGAATTTTCGTTTTCTTGAAACTGAGACACAAGCCATACTGAAGGCTAAATTATTTGATCTTCTGCAACAAGTGCTTCAAGTCCTCCTCCCTTTCAGCAAGTAAGGTTGTATCATCAGCATAACACAGGTTATTGATGAGTCTCCCTACAGTCCTGATGCCATACCCCTCTTCACAGAGGCCAGCTTCTTGGATAATTTGCTCGGTATATAGATTGAACAGACACGGAGAGAGAATACATCCCTGAAATACTCCCTTCCCAATTCCAAATCATGCAGTGCTCTCCTGCTCTGTTCACTCAACAGCCTCCCGATCCAGGTATAGGTTCTGCATGAGCACAATCAGGTGCTCTGAGATTCCCATTCTCCTCAACATCAGCCACAATTTTTGTCATGATCCACGCAGTCAAATGCCTTTGCATACTCGATAAAGTACAAATAGACATTCTTCTGGTATTCCTTACTTTCAGCCAGGATCCATCTGACATCAGCAATGATAGCCCTAGTGCTACAACTCTTCTAAATTCTGCTTGAACTTCTGACAGTTCCTTATATATGTACTGTTCCAGTCATTTTTTAATGCTCTTCAGCAGTATTTTGCTTGCATATGATATCAATGATATTGTTCAATAATTTCCACATTTAGTTGGATCACCTTTCTTGGAAATGGGAACAAATATGGACCTCTTCCAATCTATTAGCCAGATAGCCATCCTCCAAATTTCCTGACATTGACTTGTGAGTGCATTCAATGCTGCATCTGTTAACTGAAATGAGTCAATTGGCATCCCATCTATACCTGAGGCCTTATTTTTTTGCCAATGCCTTCAGTGTAGATTATACTTCTTCCTTACCATTGGCTCCTCTCCATCTGGTATTTCCTGAAATTTTTCAGAGTCAATCAATTATTTCTGGTATAGTGACTCTACATATTCTCTCCACCTTCTTTGGATGCTTTACCCCATAGCATCTTTCAATATTGACACTAGGCTTTAAATTTGTTTTTCAGTTCTTTCAAGCTTGAGAAATGCAGAGTGAGTTCTTCCCTTTTTATTCTCCAATTCCAGATCTCTGCACATTCTATTATAATACTTTGCTTTGTCCTCCTGAGTTTTCCTTTGAAATCGTCTGTTCAGCTCTTTCATGTTGACATATTTTCCTTTAGATTTGGCTTCTTGATACTCCAATGCAATCTTTAGAGTCTCTCCTGACATTCATTTTGATTTTTGTTTTCTCCTCTGTTTTTGTAATGCCCTTTTGCTTTCTTCATAGATGATAACCTTGATATCATCCAACATCTCATCTGGTCTTCTATCATTGGTGTTCAATGCCTCAAACCTATTCTTAAGATGGTCATGAAATTCAGTTGAAATTGATTCCAAATCCTATCTTTGTTCCTGTGGACTTATTTTCATTTTTCTTTAGCTTTAATTTGAACTTGCATATGAGTAATTGATGATCTGACCCACAGTCTGCCCCTAGCCTAGCTTTGACTGCTGATATTGAACTTCTCCAAAGATTTCTTCCACAAAATGTAGTCAATCTGATTGCTATGCAGCCCATCAAGTGAAAGTCACATGTAAAGTTGTCTTTTGTGTCTTTTAGTAGAAGTATTTGCAATGAATAAATTGCATTGTAAATGTAAAATTCTAGCATTCTATTTCCAGTTTCATTTTTATAGTCAAGCCCATGTTTTACAAATACTGTTTCTTCTTCACTGTTTTCTACTTTTGCATTCCAGTCATCCAATTATCATTAACACATCCAGATTGCATGTTTAGTCAATTTCAGAAAGCAAAATTTGGTAAAAGTTCTCAATTTCTTCCTCTTTGGCTCTTGATATAGGAACATATATTTGAATAATAGTCATGTTAATGGTCTTCCTTGTATACATATGGATAGTATTCTATCACTCACAACATTGTATTTCAGTATGGAACTTCACATTGACCTTTTTACTATGAATGCAACATCATTCTTCTTTTGTTTCTCATTCCCTGCATAGTATGTTGTTGTTGTTGTTGTTATGTGCCGTACAGTCACTTGCAACACATAGCTACTGTATGTACAACAGCCTTAAACCCTGCTCTGTCCTGTGCCAATCTCACTGTCTCTGACATACCCACCCCTATTACTCCAGTCACTGAATAAGTCCACCTCATAGAGGATCTTTTTCTTCTGCACTGTCCCTCCACCCTCCAAGCACCTTCTCCAAGGATTGGTCCCTCCTTGCAACGTGTTGAAAGTATGTCAGATGAAGCTTCAGCATCTTTGCCTCCAAGGAGCAGCCTGGTTTAATCCTCTCCAGGAAGAACCTGTTTGTTTTCTTAGCAGTCCATGGTATATTCAATACTCTTCTCCAGCACCACAGCTAAAAGACATCAATTCTCCTTCTATCCTCCCTAGTCATTGTCCAGATGTCTGATGCACAACAAGTGATTGCAAAGACCATGGCCTGTATCAGGAGCACTTTAGTCTCCAGAGGGACACCATTGCTCTTCAGTACTCTGGAAAGGTCCCTAAACGCCAACTTTCCCGTCACAATATGTCTTTTAATTTCCTGGCTGCTTGTGCCAAGAGTGTTGACTGTGGAGTCAAGCAGACTAAAGCTGTGAACAATCTCAATCTCTTCACCATCCATCCTGATGCTGTCAATTGACCCAGTGGTGAGAATCTTTGTCTTCTTGATACTGATCCTCAATCTATAATAAAGGCTGTAGTCCTTGACCTTCTGCAGCAAGTGCTTCAGGTCTTCCTCAGTTTCAGCAAGCAGGGTTGTGCCATCTGCATAATGAAGATTATTGATGAATCTTCCACCAATCCTGATGCCACACTTTTCCTCACAGAGTCTAGCCTCCCGGATAATCTCCAGGAAGAGTGCATAAGGTCATTATTAAGACAGAGGAGGAAGAAAAGACCAAAATGAAAAGACTCTGAATATTGCACTAGAATACCGGGAAGCCAAAGAAGAGGGAAGAATTCAAGATGTTAAAGAGCTGAACAGAAAATTCAGAAGACAGCCCAGGAAGACAAAGTAAAACATTATAATGGAATGTGGGAGGAGCTGAAGTCAGAAAATCAAAAGGGCTGAACTCTCTCAGCATTTCTTAAGCTGAAGGAAGAACAAATTCCAACCTCAAGTTGCAATTCTTAAGGATGCTTTGGGCAGAATATTAAGTGATCCAAGAAGTATAAAAAAGAAGATGAAAAGAGTATACAGAGTCACTGTACAGAAAGGAATTGGCAGACACAGAAGAATTTCATAAAACAACCTAAGAGCAAGAGCCTATGGTGATGAAGGAAGAAGTTCAAGCTGCCTTGAAGGAATTGGCAAAAAAATAAGGCCCCAGGAATAGATGGTATACCAATTGACATATTTCAACTAACAGATGCCCTAGATGTGCTCATTAAGTTGTGCCAAGAAATCTGAAGGACAACCACTGGGCCAGCTGACTGGAAGAGATCTATATATGGTCCCATTCAGTATCACTGATAGTACATGCAAGCAAGAGTCTGCTGAAGATTATCCAAAAATGACTGGAACAGCACATCAACAGAGAACTGCCAGAAGTCCAGGCTGATTTAGAAGGGGAAGTGGTACTAGGGATAGTGTAGCTAATGTTAGACGGATCTTGGCGGAAAGTCTTGGAGGAATGTCTGTGCTTCATTGATTATGCAAAGGCTTTTGACTGTGTGGATCACAACAAACCCGTGGCTGACCCTGAGAAGAATGAAAATCCCAGAACACTTGATTGCTAATGTGAAACCTATACTTGGACCAGGAAGCAGTCGTCATAACAGAGCAAGGAAACACTGCAGGGTTCAAAATTGGTAAGGATGTAAAAAAAAAAAAAATTGGTAAGGATGTACACCAGGGATGTGTCCTGTCTCCGTATCTTTTCCTACATAGTATACCATATGATTATCTGATTCTAAGTGTCCAAAGCTGGTCCATCGCATCTCACTAATGCCTAGTATGTCAATACTCATGCATTCCATTTAATTTTTAACAATTTCCAGTTTTCCAACATTCAAGCTATGTACATTACGTGTTCCAATTGTTCAATAATGTATAAGAGCTTAAATGTTTATCTGATAGGGGACATTTTTTTAATTTATGTTCTAGGTTAAAGTTCCTTTTGGATTCAGGTCAGTATTTTACTGTTACAAAAAGATTGATGATGTTCATTTCTCCAAGCTCCTACCTTCTCAGACATGCGCTCACTGTCATTCTCCTTCAGCTTCCCAAGCTGGATTCAGGTAGGTGTCTCTCTGAGGCTTGCATGCTTGCTGGCTCTCTTTTCTCTCTGACTCGGTTGACCCATCAATGAATGTAAACAATGTCATTTGGTTCTTCTTAGGGACCCCCCATAGAAGTCTGAAGGAAGTTGTCAGGAGAATTAACAGCATAACTCCCTACAGACTATACCACCGTAACTAACTAAACTATCATACTCAACTCATTGCCTTTGAGTCAGAACCAGTTTTTAGAGGCTGTAAATCTCATGGAAAGATATTGTTTCTCTTTCTTCTGTTGTGTGCCTGGTAGATTTAAACTGCCTGTCTTTGGGTTGCCACAGCAAATCCTTTAACCTCTAGGTCACAAGAACTCCCTAACTATTGTGATTCAAATAAATATTTTTTTTAAATGGTGTTCTTGTTATTAGGTACTATCTAGTCAACTACAATTCACAGCAACCCTAAAAACAACAGATCTGAACCCTGTCTTATCCTGTGGCAACCAAATACTAGAACCCATTGTTACAGTCACTGTGTCAACTCATCGTGGGGGTCTTCCCCTCCTCCTTCACTGACCCTCCGCCTTTCCAAGCACGATGTCCAAGTACTGGCCCCTCCTAACAATACGCCTAAGTATGTGAGATGAAGTTTCACTAATACTGAAGTGAAATCTGGACGTTGACTCTGGCAGCAGTTGTGCAGTTCAGAAATTAGAGCAATAGAGCCAGAAACTGCACTTTGTCAGGAGCCTGGTCTATTTTCCACTGACCCTGCTCATTTTTTGTGCAGCTCACTTTGATGTGATCGAACCCCAGGAGTCCATCCCGGCTCTGGTGGGTGAAGATGTGGAACTGCCCTGTCACCTGTCCCCAAGCACGAGCGCTGAGCACATGGAGGTAGAGCAGATGCCCGAGTACTGAGGGAGAGTCACGCTGGTGAAGGACAATATGACCTCGGGGAGCGTGGCTGTGAGGATCCACGGAGTCAACACATTTGATGATGGCATGTATGGTGCTCTTTTAAAACGCAGCAAGTCTCTGAAGAAGCCTTCAGGCATCTGAAAGTGGCTGGTAGGTGTTTTGACTTTTTTTTCTGATGCCAATGGAGTGTGTATGTGACTTGGTAAAATTTAAAAGCATATTTTAGTTGTAAAGTATTGTCATGTTCCTGGAAACCAAAACGAAGAAACAAACCCACTGTTGACACTTGCTTCTGAAATTTGGGGATCTCTGGTTCCTCTGGGAGATCTGGTGGCCTAGTTCTTAGGGAGCTGCATTGCTAAACCCAAGGCTGTGCCTCTCTGGTTGTTTGAATCCACCAGCCTTTCTGCGAGGAGAAAAGGTGGACAATCTCCTCTCATCTCATTTACAGCCCCAAAAACCCATGGGAGGATCAACTATGAGTTAGTACTAGCTCAAAGTCAGTAAGTTAAGTCTGAGGGTGTTTTTATATGTATGTATATATGTATATTAAAAACTCATTGTAGTCAAGTAGGAATTGACTCAATGCTCCAGTATTTTTTAGAGATTATCAATCACACAAAAGGAGACTGTCCATCATTATGCCATGCAGTAGCTAGGTGCTTAGAATAGTTTGCCTTTGGGTTAACAGCTAATTTCCTATATATGTTGTTGTTGAGAGTTGTTGAGTCAAAACCAACTCATAGCTGACCCTCCAGCAGGTTTTCAGAGACAATAAATCGCATGGGAGGAGATTGCCATTCCTCCTAAACAGCAGCTTTGAACATCCACTTCCTAAACAACATGCCTCTGAAAACTCTATGAACTTTGATTAATGTTGATAGCTGTAGAAGGGTTTCAGGCCTTTTGTTCATAGGGTTGCTATGGGTCATGTTCGACTCAAAGACAATCAACAATATATATCTTTAAAAACCAAACAAAACCCACTGCCATAGAATCAGTTATAACTAAAGGCAACCCTCCACCAGTTTCTGAGCCTGTACATTTTTACAGAGAGGGGCCTCCTTTTGACCCTCAGAGGTGCTGGTTGATTTGAACCTTGAACATTTTGGTTAGCAGCAGGAAACATTAAATACGTTAAGTATTAAATTTTAAAAATCCTGATCTCTACGGCATGTTGCTGAACTTATTTGCTTCATGTTGGAATGGACAGATTTTTAGAGACTGGAAACCACAGAGGAAGAAATGGCCCCTTTGTCTACCATGGAATCTCCCAGTGAATTTTAATTGCCAGAGAACTGCTTTCTTTGTTGACAGAACAACTTCCTACCTACTACACCACTAGCAGCCTGACACTTTATGCATAATCTTGATCTCTAATCCATGGCATGGTGCCTCCTTTGATAATAGCTGTACACTCCAAGTGCTTTTATTTTTAGGAGAAGTAAGATCTTAAACATTGCCTCAAATAATTTAAAGCCTAGGTAGAATAAAACTGTTTCTATAATAACTCACAGGCCCAATGCACAATCTATTAACCCTCTGGACCAAAAACTAATTCCCACATACTTGCATAAATTTGGATAACTATTTAATAACTTTATCTTAGAATTAACTTTTGTATACTGTTTCACTTCCATCACATAGATTCTTTTAAAAAATTTTTTTTTATTTTATTATTTTTGTGTGCGTGTACCATCAAATCAGATCTGACTGGTACAGGAGGAGATTGTCCCTCCTTCCCATTGTCCCTCCTTCCCCAGCAGAGCATCTGGTGGATTCGAACCGTGCACCTCTGGGATTGTAGTTGCAGCTCCTTGCCACTAGGCCACCAGAGCTCCCCCCATCACATAGATTCTGACTCAATTATTATTTATCCAGTTTCTAAGGCTGTAAATCTTTTAAGGGGAAATTATACATCTTTCATCTAATGAACAACTGGTAGATTTTAACTATTTAATGACCTTTCTGTTAACAGCCTAATACATTATGCACCAGAGCTCCTTTTTCTATGCAATGGAGTTAGAGAAAAATAATATGGCAGAGAAGGGAAAAAAAGAATTTTCTGAGGTAGTATATAAAAGGATGAGGAAAGCTGAAGAAGTCATTTAAAATAATTCTGAAACAATATCACAGCAAAGGGGCTCTAACTTCCTCAATGAATTTCTCTTTCCCAAGGCCATCCAGAGAAAAGAGAAAGAAAAAAAATTGCTTTTCTCCAATCTTTCCCCATCCCTCAAGATCCAATACAAATTCTGATTTTTTTTTTCTCTGAAGACTTCTACTATTTTCAATAGCCAAACTCTTCTGGTTTAGTGGTAAGAAGCTGCACTGCAATCCCAAAGGCAGGAAGTTCAAATCCACCAGCTGCTCTGTAGGAGAAGGATGGACAATCTCCTCCCATGCAATTTACTACCTCTGAAAATTCTCAGAGGGTCAGGTATGGGTCAGTTCCAAATCACTCAACAATAACAGACACTGTTGTCACTCTTCTATCTACTTTAAAGAGCATCCCATCAAACTGCTGTATTTATTTTTAAACCCCAAATGACTTGCTCTTCAGTTAAACTCATGATAGCAATATATATCAGAGCACACCTGTGCTCCACTGAGTTTTCAATGGCAGGTTTTTGAGGAGATTTCCAGTTTCTTCCCCAAGGAGATAGACACTTGATTGACTTGAACCTGCCACAAGAGTTGCTCAGGACATTTACTGCAACATGCAGGGATTCTGATATGTCCCTAACTCTAGTTCTCCTAGATTTTTAGTTCCTTTTATTTCCCCTTCCCATTAAAAACTAATGCACTTTTACTTTTGAAAGAGAGGAGCAAACTGGGGGGCGGGGGAAGAGGGCTGGGCGGGGAGAGAAGTACAGCAATGAATGAATGGAAATCCAAATTCTCTGTAAATGTTCATTAAAATTATTTTTAAAAATTAAATAAAATATAAAAAAACCTTAAAAAAACCCACAACTAATGCACTGTAGTCATAAAGATGTCTGGAGGCCTACTGTGTTACATGTTAGCCTGTTAACAGCAAGGTTGGCAGTTCGAATCTATAATTCGGTTCAGAGTTTGAATCTGTGAAGGAGAAGATGAGCTGTCTCCTCCCCTGAAAGGCCTAGGAGTCAGAATTGATTTAATGGATTTGGATTAGGTAGACATTAAGGAACTCTGGTATTGTGGTATGTAAAACATTGGTTTACTAACTACTCTGTGACAAAAGAATTGAGATCCTCAGAAGTCCAACAGGACTAGCCACCAGTGGGTCTTTTCAGTTGTTCAAACTTAACATTTGGAGACATGAATCCATGCCAAAGGCTCTGAGAAGTTTAGTGATCTTCTTTTCAGCCACCGAAAACACTGTGGAACATAGTTCTATACTAACATGTGGGAGGTTACCATGAATTAGAGTTGACTTTAAGGCACTTGTTTATAAGGATCTTAGAAAATGATCTCTCAAGGATTAAGGCCAGATTCTCTCTTCATAGCTCTAGGCTCTGATCCTCACATCTCTATGGAAGTTCAAGGGAATGCCAGGGTCTGGCTGAAGTGCTCTTCTTTTGGATGGTATCAAAGCCCCAAGTGCAATGGAGAACTCCCAATGGAGAGATAGTGCCATCCAGATCAGAGTCCAACAATATTGATGAAGAAGGCCTGTATACTGTGACAATGTCACTACCCATCAAAGACATTGTCCTAAAGAGTGTCCTGCTGCATCCAGAATGACTATCTTGGCCTGGAGAAGACAGTATCAGGTCAGTGGAACCAATGGTTTATCCCTATGTTGACACAGCTTCAGGACTAACCTACCTGGGACAGAAACACCTGCCGAGCTGTGATCTTATAGAAAGAGTTGTCCACTTTCCCTCTTAAGCACTCCAAGCGCCCTGTTCTCTGGCTTAAGAATTCTGAAGACATTAGCTATGTATAGATCTTGAGAGATTACAGGTTTCTGTGCTTAGGTAATATATCTTTGAGAACCTTATCAGTGAATATTATTGCCTGTTTCTGACCCAGATACTTCTTTTGTTAAATAGCCAGAAATTTACATGTTGATGGTGGTGTTGTTATGCGCCATCAAGTCGCTTGCGACTCATAGCGATCCTATGTACAAGAGCTCTAAACTCTGTTCTAGCCTGTGCCATCTCAAACACACTTATTCCCACCGCTCATTTCATGAAATGACATATGAGGAAGAGCCTGTGGTGATGAAGGAGGAAGTTCAAATTGCTCTGAAGGAATTGACGAAAAACAAGTCTCCAGGAGTTGACGGCATACCAATTGACATATTTCAACAAACAGACACTGCCCTGGATGTGTTCTCTAAGTTGTGCCAAGAAATCTGGAGAACAGCCAGCCTGCCCACTGACTGGAAAAGATCAATATTTGTTCCCATCCCAAAGAAAGGTGACCCAACAGAGTGTGGAAATTATCAAACAATATCATTAATATCACATGCAAGCAAGATTCTGCTGGAAATTATCCAAAAACATTTGGAACAATATGTCAACAGAGAACTGCCAAATGTGAGGCTGGATTTAGAAGAGGTCGTGGCACTAGGGATATTATAGCTAATGTTAGATGGATCTTGGCAGAAAGGAGAGAATACCAGAAGAATGTCTATCTATGCTTGTGTGGATCACAACAAGCTGTGGCTGACTCTGAGAAGAATGGGAATCCCAGAATATTTGATTGTGCTAACGCGAAACCTATACTTGGACCAAGAGGCAGTTGTCAGTACAGAGCAAAGAGACACTACATGGTTCAAAATCAAGAAGGGGGTTTGTCAGGGATGTAGTCTGTCTCCATACCTTTTCAGTCTGTATGCAGAACAGATCATCCGAGACGCTGGGCTGTATGAGGAGGAATGTGGCATCAGGATTGGTGGAAGAGTCATCAACAACCTGCGTTATGCAGATGACACAACCCTGCTTGTTGAAACTGAGGAGGACCTGAAGCGCTTGCTGCAGAAGGTCAAGGACTTGCAGCCTCCTATA